AATTCATTCCCATAAACCGCCTTTCACGCTGGCTACTTCTCACCCGCATGCACCAAGATTTTTGAACTCGGTGGTCTAATGAATATCTGAACAACTTACAACAAAAAACAAAATGGTTCAATGGTCCCTCCGATCCCATTACGAAAGGATCGTTGGTAATCATTATCAAAACTGAAAATATCTCTCCAAAGTGAAATTTGGAGCGTATCATTGAGACATATCCTGGTCCAGACGGACATATGAGAGTTGCTACTGTGAAAACGGCAAATAGCAACATTTTGAAGATACCTATTTCTAAACTGTGTCCTGTACCTCTGGAATCAAATCCAGATACATAAAATCATAAAATTCTTCGCATTTCAGGTGGGCGGTAATGTTCCGTCCATCTCCTTTGTTATGTCCTTTTATGTTAACTTAAAATAATAATGAATTTCTATGCATTATCTGTTTTCCGTGTTTGGCTCACTGTATATCTAGAAATTGAATTCGCGCATCAGGTCTTTAAGGTTTTACATGCAGCGCCTCCAAGTGGCCACGATAAAAGAATCAGAACTCCGACATTCAATCCGATCGCCTTGGGTCTTTCCAAAAACATGTTTCCCAACAATAACAAAATATCCGTCCTCTGGACGTAAATGGAACATTAAGTGTCCAATTAAGGATTAGTTATTTCTCGTGACGCAAGTGGTACCAGATAGTTCCTAAGGGAAGACCATTCATCCCATACGTCCAGTCCAGATCGCCGGCCTGCCCGTTACCACAACATAATTCCACGGAAGAACCATAAGGTAAGATCTTAAAGACCACGCTCAATTTGCCTCCAGTTCATTTTTTTTTTCTCTCCTGAGACTTTACGGGTATGGGATTCAACCCCCTTACGTAACACATAATATAGAATCATTGTATTCTTTTTTGAACCCAAATCCAAAAATATCAGGCATGATTGCATTACTCTCTGCAATAACATGCTTAGAAGTTGTGTCTCCAGTCAGAGTGATTTTCTCCTTACAAGTGTATTTCATATAATGCCAAATATATGTTTTTTCTGTGACGGGAAAAAAGTTTGGCATTTCATCTCTGTTGGCAGGTTATAAAATGTCACTTTTCATAAATTACTTTTTTCCCGTGGGAAAAAAGTGAGTACTTCTTTCCCGGATATATATCACATATATATACTCTGTTGATGGCTTTTGTTGTGCTATAGTTCCGAAAAATAAGTCAATAATACCGTCTCCGAGAAAGAACTGCAAGTCCTTTTATCTTCCATTCGACTTCGCGGTTTCGTATATTACTAAACAACTACTGAATTCGCAATTTTTTAAAATCAAATCACAGAATTGAACTGACAGAAGTGACATCAGATATTTGATTACTTCAAAAGAATGATAAAGATGCCTATAAAACGCAGGTGTCCTTACTGTTAAAAACTTGAAATTTCACGTCGATAATTTTTAGATTTCGAAATAATGTAATATCTTCTCAATATTGATTCGTCCTTCCTTCTGTCACAGAAAAAAATAGTGTATTATACACGGGAAAAATATTAGATTTTAGCTCACGGTTTTTTGTCTCCCTCCGCTACGCGTCGGGAGACAACACAACCTGGAGCTAAAATCTACTACTTTTTTCCCTTGTATAATAAATAACTATTCTTCAACAAGAAACCCAAGCAATTGGGACACGGTCCATAATCTGAATCACTTATATATTTAGTTTTATTCGCAGTTAGTCTGCAAATGAGCACTAATTCTCCATTCTTAGTAGCAATAACATTGCAGTTATGATAAAAATCACCGATTCTAATAATCTCGATAAAACAGTGCCGAAGTTGTTTTGAATATTTTGGGTATGCTAGATATTTTGCTACTTCACATTCGTTTCTATGAACAGTTTCAAAATGTCTAGCCATATTTATAATTTTCTTGTTGCAAAAGTAGCATACATGAGTTTTATTTCTGATTTTTTGCCGTCTGTCTTATGACCTGCAGCAACGATTTCTATATTATTTCTAGTTATTTTTGTTCTAAACGTTCTGTCGAATGACCTATCGCTTGTGTTCTGTATGGAACTTTCCATACTGGTTCGTTCATTTTTTCCTTCAGTGTGGTCCTGGGGTGGTTCATTTCCTGGTGGTTCAAAAAATTTGTCAAATTCGTATTCCCCGCTCCTTCTGAATCCATAACTTCTGATTGTTTCTTATTTCTCCGGTCTTCATTTCCAAATTTATTTTCTGTTTTCCCCCATTCTCTTCATAAAATGTCCGATCAATTTGGGATGTCTTCTGTTCATAACTATCTTGTTTGCTGTTCAGATATTTTTCAATAAAAAATAATTTATCTCCAACATCGTAAATCTTATTACTTCATTCGAATGTGTTCTTCTATTTCTGTCTAACGTTTTCTTCCTAATTTGTTTTTGTTATTTTTCTTTTTGATGAATTGATATACTGTTTGCTGACTTCATCAGAGTCGTAACTTGATGAAGGACAATACTCGCTTCCTGATGCTTTATCTTCGCTTACTGAATCCCACTTAGTGATGTCTTCTCTAGGATATGTTTTACGATACTCTGAAAATAAAATACTATAAATGTATGAAAGATGGAGTTCAAATCAGAAATCATCAACGAATGACATTAGGTGAAGATGAGGATTCCTATATACAATGAGTCCAAGAAAAGAATGTCCACCATATGGGGATATCGGTAATAGATACAGTTTGAATATTCTTGATTTTCAGGTTAATTTGTAAATTTGGGTAAACTATTTCGTGTTTATGTTAGTTTTACTGTCCAACATTTCATTATCGATCAACCTTCATCAACTTATTTTTTTAATACGGCCCCAATTTGAGAATCTCTCGAAAAATTCGAGGGATGATCTGAAACATAATGAAATCGTCATGTGTGATGATTCATAGAATTCAAAATGAAAAATACTTCAAGAAAATCAATTCATCAAAACATGATATTAAAAAAAGAGGTCGATGATGGGTTGATCTTTAAAGAAATGTTGGATAGTAAAACTGAAGTTATCATGTGGAAGCTTATGAAAAGATGAAATGTTTCTAATTTTGCTCCAGCTCTGACGATAACACCAGAAAAATGAAATGAACCACTTAAACGCAGCTCAGCGTTTAGGAAGGAAACACGCGATTTTATTCGTTTATACGAACTATCGCATAGATTTCGGGAGGATGTAATGCAATGTTCTGCGTGGCAAATAGCCAGGAGTGTAGTTGTTTTTCTCTCGTTATCTACCATTGTCGTTTATTTTATGAACTAGTATGTGGTAATGACTTTGAGTCTCTCTCTTTGTGAAAAAATGAAATCATAAATCTAAAAATCAATATTTTCCGAAATAACATTTTTTTTGGAAATTGTATAATGCTATATGAGTGATCCTTCTGTTACGCAACTTTCGTTTTAAACGAAACTGTATATATTACCGTTTTAGATAATCTCCATGGTGGACATTCTCATCTTGCACTGTGTTTTGACATTTCCGTGAATCATAGTCAATAATTTGAAAACGCTGTCCCAAAAACTAACAGAAACAGTGGAAATCGCAGAAAACTTCTATAACCGGACCATAATCACAGAACTCGTCCGCCATCTTGGAGCCGCAATTTTGAATTCATGAATTTTGGTTGAAGATCTATCATCTCACAGACACAGAAGCTCTTACATAGGTTCCAATTATGAATCGCATCGGATCACAATTTAAAACTCGTTCACCATCGTGATTTATGGATTTTGAGAGAATATCTATAGTCTCTGAACTCGAATACCTGCACATACCGATTTCGAAACGAATCAGACCATCTCGATATTCGTCGGCCATTTTGGGGACGCCATCTAGAATTTTTCAATTTTGACAAAATAATCATAATTGCCAATTCCGAGAAGCCCCAGAGGCCAATTTTGAATAGAATCGGATCATAATCACCAAACTCTCCCGCCATTTTGGTGCCGCCATATTACATATTTTTTAAATTTCGAGGAAAGAATCATAATCTCCGACCCCGAAAACCCCCATATACGAATTCTGAATCGAGTCAGGCCATGATTACAATACTCGTCGGCCATTTTGGGGACGTCATCTTGAATTTTTCAATATTGACAAAATAATCATGATTTCCGAACCCGATAAACCCCAGAGACAAATTTTGAACAGAATCGGACCATTACAATACTTGTCGACCATTTTGGGGACGTCATGTTGAATTTTTCAATATTGACAAAATAATCATGATTTCTGAGCCCGATATACCCCAGAGACAAATTTTGAACAGAATCGGACCATAATCACAAAACTCTTCCGCCATTTTGGTGCCGCCATATTATATAATATATAGTTTTTCAATTTTTACAAAATAATGATAATCTCCGACCTATAAAACCCTCAGATACTGATTCTGAATAAAATCGGACCATAATCGATCACAAAACTAATCCGCCATTTTGGTGCCGCTATATTATATGAAATATGATTCATCAATTTCAAGAATCATAATCTCTGATCCCCCAGATACGAAATTTGAATAGAATCTGAGTATAATCACAAAACTCATCCGCCATTTTGAAGCCGCCATCTTAATTTTTTCCAATTTTGACAAAAGAATCATGATCGCCGACCCCAAAAACCTCCAGGTACCAATTTTTAATCGAATCGGAGGATAATCACAAAACTCATCCGCCATTTTGGTGCCGCCATATTATATATTTTTTAAATTTTGAGGAAAGAATCATAATCTTCGACCCACACACACAGTGTAGGATTTGGTACTGACTCCATATGCTACCTTACGAGCAGCACTGTTGATTGGAACGCAACAACGAATCGTGCGGAATCATCTCCGGCCGAGGCTATGAGAATTATAATTTATAATTCGTTTTATGAACAAAAGTTCTCTGCTTTTCCGAATCTAGCAACCCCTCGATGTTCTAATAGTTTTTTTATACTAATCATATTCAAAGAATGAAAACAAATAAAATACTAGTGGAAAATGAACAGTTTTATTATATATCCATATCACTATCTACAACTTTTATATGATACAATTTCTTATCTCTATCCGAAATTGAAGAAGGAGCTCCACTGACTGGATCCCGACCTTCAAAGTTCTTTGGAAATGCTATAACATCTCTTATACTATTTGTATTCATCAAAATATGTAGTAACCTATCTAAACCTAAAGCTATACCTCCATGAGGTGGACATCCTGAACCTAACATATTTAGAATATGTTGAACTGTTTTGGAATCAATTTTCAGTACATCAAGAACTATTTTTTGAAGTGAGGGATCATGGATCCTGATCGAACCCCCGCCTACTTCCTGTCCATTCAAAATGAGGTCATAAGCAAGTGCCCTAACCTAGAAAAAAAATAGTTATTATATGAATTATTGATAAAACTGAAACGGGTCAAAGTTTCGGAGGTCTTTGTTTTTATGCAATTTATTACGTTCACCTAGATCCCAATTGAATTGACCAAAACTGATAATAAATTTGTTGGTATTTCAATTCGAATGAATGAATTATTTCATACAATAGGAATAATATTGTCGCGTTATTAGTGGCAGAAGGAAACACTAACACTATTTTCAACTGATTTATTTGATGGAGAAATAACACTTATTTATTAAATAATTTTCACTATGTCTTTTGAGCGGTTTGAAACACGCGGTATATACCACTGTCTGTGTGAAGTTGCCTGATAAAACTGACTGACAGCTGCTGTCCGGCTGCTCCTTATACAGTGTGACCCACTTCTGATGGAACCACCCCTGTATCTTACGTAATCGTTGGGTAAGGATCCTGAAATTTGCTGGAGCGAGAGATATACCAAAAATGCACTCTATGACCAAGTGGGGTCATCTTCAGTGATATACACTGCTCGCCAACAGTCATGAAACTACCCCAATTTCCGGAAAATGATATTAGGAGTCAAAATAGGTCGAAAATCACTTCAGATTTGGAATCAGGACGCCCAATTTACTAACTATTCAAATTTTTCCTGGAAAATTTTCAGTTCGGAAAAATGGGATTTTGTCGCATTTTTTATGGAAACACCCCCGTATCTCACGTAATTGACTTTATCTTTGGACTTTCTCTTCCTCCGGCAAATTTCAGAACCCTACCTCAATAGAGTTATCAGTATCATAGTAATTTTTTCTCGAAAAATATCCAATGCGAAACCCATACGGACGTCACTGGTAAAGAAAATGATTTTTTTTACATGAGAAAATGCACGTTGATGCATAGAAGACATGTATCAAATTTCATTAAGATGTCTACAATATTATTTCAGTTATTATCGAAAAGCTGTTTATTTTTTCAAAACTTAATCACCCTGTATCTCAAAGGTTAATACTTTTAGGGCATACCTTCATAGGAAGTTTTTTTTTCTCAAAATGGGTCAATTGAATATTAGCACGTCTTTAAGAAACACCTTTTATATTTATTTAATTTATGCGAATCGCCGTTATGTTATCCGATTGGGATATTTTTTCTATATCCTTACCGTTTCCTTGACCACAAATAGCTTATGTCACTTGATCAGTTTTGATGAAACGGATAGATTTAGGAAAGGAACAGTGATTTCGTAAATGTCTTTACAATTCAAATGGTTATTCAACTGTTCCTAGAAGACTATATAGAACAATGTTTCCAAATGGTTTATCTATGTTAACTGAACAATAAGCACAAACTTGACATACAACAAAAAAATAGCATCTAAATCATTTTCTTCATATTGTGATAAGATTGTTTTTCAAATCGAAATTCTTATTCCTTTCACTTCAAAGATGAGCTAAGTCTATTTTGGTTGCCAATTCAGTACTATTGGAGAGTTCATTAGGTATACTTATCGAATTGGTGATCAACAAAGATGTATTTGGTGGTTAACAAATATGTATTTGATGAATGCGATGCTTTTTCGAGTACACCTACAAGTAAAGTCCCTTCAATCTTCACATCGACAGCTGATCTTGTATTTTTTGTCTCGTATATAGTCCACACGTATGTGGGTGAATAAAAATATAAATTCGAGTAATACGAGTGACTTGAGCAAAGCTTGATGATTGCAAATACATATACCAAAGTAGCATATTATTATACAGTATCATATGACTTATCATAAGCCTCAAATACTAGAAGGGAATATAAAGGGAAAAAACAAGAAGGGGCCACAGGATCAAACAGAGTGATAAGTAGGGTAAGTATTCCTAACATGCAAAAATCCAAAATACGATATGCTGTAGTGCAAAACCTGTAATAGGTATATGGAATAGATCAAAATGTTTGGAGGATTCCCAACTGTGGCTTATCGGCGCAGTTTTCAAAGCAGTTTATGAAGATGTGTAGGTTTTGAAGGAATGGGTAATCTGTGTTTCTACTCTAGACCCACATTGAATATTCAACAGAATAGTTGAAGAGAAATAGAGGAAAAAACTGATCCTGAGAATATCCCTAATAACACACGTTATCCAGACGACATCCATTTTATATCCATTTGCCGTCCAAGACATCCATGGACGCCAAATGGAACTATCGTTTGATGTACATTGTTGTATATCCAGCTGATGATCTAGTTTGTACTCCATCTGGAAGCCTATGTCCATGGACGCACATCGAATAGCCACTTGGATGTCCATACCGGATACTTGGCATACATATTGGACATCCATAAGTGTAATGTCGGGATGTCCATTGTAGCGAGAAATTTTGAGAAGAGTGAAATGAGAAGAAGAAGATCTGAATCCATCTGTCAGAATTCGAAACATAATATAGGTTATGTTTATTTCATTCATCCATTCTGGTGGACTTTCATGATAATTACTAGTATTTTATAGTTGAATTATGCCCCAGTTTCCTGCTTTAAACGGCCGTCATACAAGTAAGTTCTTATTATTTCTGTGTCTATTCAGTTACGACAACCTAACATATTTCTTGGATAGGTAGGTAAAACACCCTTCACCAGAATGAACAGAAGGAAAAGGATTTGAAACAGGTTCTTCCGACGTATCTACTATAAAGTAGAAAAAAATTCATCGGATGTTGACAAACACTTGAATGATACGACAACAGATGATGTGTGGGCAAGAATCACTGACAATTTCGCAGTTTGAGGAATTTTCATCTTGGGGCCAATTATCTTGCTCATCGACCTAAACTGACGATAAAAAGTTATGGAACTCCTTTTTCACTTCATGTGGCTCTTGCATGATGAGGCTCCACCACATTACACTCTGAATGTCCATTGCTGTTTCATTCAACAGTTTTCAGATAATAAGTAGATGAAACGGCAGAGGAAATACATACTATAGTTTATGGGGAGCAGTACCTATAAATTTTAAGGTGTGCTTCAGACCAGTAAATAATGAACAGGAATTATGGAGACAGATTCAGAATGCATTGAATATTTTCAAAAACAATGCAGAACCAATGCAAAATATGCATTTCAGTTTTTGTGCTGCCAGTGCATTGGACCACTTCTTTTCCAATTTATCATCCTAAGTATAGGTACTATCTATTTTTTTTATCATATTATATACTTTACGTTTCACCCATGAACGATGTTTGAAATAAAGGAAAATAACATAACCTGTCTTTTGAATACGTATAGGTTGGTATATATGACCAATATATGGACACCATATGGATGTCCATAATGGACACCAAATGGATGTCCATCATGGATAACGTATGTATGTCCTAAAATGTGGAAAGCTGATTCCCTATGGACATCCTGGATGTCCTGTGTACACAAAGTGGTTATCCTATGGATGTCCAGGGTGTCCGGGTGAGGATATCCATTGGATGTCCAATGGATGAAGGTGTGTTATTAGGGTATGAGATAGTATTTCGGAAATATCTAAGCATCACTTATTTTTAACTCGAGAGAATAGGTACTAAGTTCCACATTTAACCTACTTAGCGAGTTCAATGACAAATATTTATCGAGCAAGAAGTAAAGTAAAGTAAATCAAAACTTGAATGATGCTATTGACTTCACATATGCAGAAGATCCACCTGTTACACAAATCTACATCATCAACAGGTTCCAATGTACTTGGTGCAAAAACTGCATAATATCTGGAATATAGATGTATGATTTGTGTAAAAAGCTCTGATTTCAAGAAATCAAAGTGCATCAAGTTTGGCGATGATTACAGACATGGACCCATTTTAATTAGAGTAGGCGAGAAATCTATGACCATCTGAGTTAAAGTACCTTACAAGTCAAGTAATTAGGGATGTGAAAGGAATATAGTTCCATCTGAGTGACATTACATTTTCAGTCTCACCAGTTAGCCTTACTAGAGCGTGAGGTCCATGTCAGTAAAAAATCCCAAAATTTTGCCGGATAGCCTAGAAGGCTAATGCTTATTTTCTGGAAAGTTTTCGAAAACAATTATGTGGCCCATGTGAACAAATACATTGAGGAAAATCTTGCTATTAGGGTTTTGCTGCGACATTTCTTGCTACCATTACAAAAAAAACCGTTTTACCATCACATATTTTCGAATAGAAGAAGAATTGATATCCTACTATAGCGATAACCTGTGACCGCGTTTATTTGCTGCAGGATTAGCTCAGTGCAACGAGTACTTCTGGTTCAGGTTTACTTGATATTTGCCAGACCAATAAAGTAAAACAGAGATGTTGAGATAAAAGAACGAACGTATTTCCTATTGTTCACAATATTAGTGTAGATTATTTCATTTATCTCAAAATGAAATAATTGCTCTTCCACACTGGCCTCTCTGGGTAGAGCCTTTAGACAGGATCAAAAATCGTCTCCAGGTTTTCAGAACAGAAGTTCATCTCGTACTTGATACTATACGTAGGATTTTGACCTTCCTATCGTATGCAGCCTCGGGCGACTAGGCGGACGGAACAATCAATTATGACATTCCACGTCGTCAAGACGTTAAAAACGCCACTGACAGGAAACTAATTCAAAAATGATATGGAATGTTTGACAGTGGGCAGCCTCGGGTGGCTGGGCAGGTGAAGAAGCGAAATTTGTGTCTGCAGGAATCCCAGAATCAGAACGCTGTTGAAATGAAACTAATTCCAAAGCGATTTGCCTAGTGCTCGAATCATTCATAAACCATGGGTACAGATTCGCAACTAAGCATTAGCAGACCAAAATTTTGATAATCCCGGCCCAATAGACATGCTAGTGGGTGCGGATATTTTCCCTCAAATTTTATTGAATGAAAGTGTGATAGGAAACAAACACGAGCCAATTGCACTTTCGACGATTTTTGGATGGGATCTTATTAATGATAACATATGCAATGTTGACTCGTTATTATGTTAAATAAATTCAGTCGCGTTAGACGAAACCATCGGAAAGTTCTCGGAG